CACTTAGCTGCCCTACTACATGTGAAGCGTGCTGACAAAATAAGTTAGGGTGACCTTATTTAGGCCACATATGGCCTAAATAAGCTAAACCCCCCTCCTTTACCTTATTTAGGACACAGGTGGCCTAAATAAGCTAAACCCCCCTCCCTTACCTTATTTAGGCCACACCTGTGGCCTGAATAAGCTAAACCCCCCTCCCTTACCTTATTTAGGCCACACCTTTATACAAAGTCACAGAAATATTCCTTTTGTGCTTATTGAGGTACAGTGCAGGGTGATTTTACCTGCAAGGATAATTGGACAAAATCTTTATTGCTAATGGTCATATTTAGACAAATCCTATATCATTGTCTTTTTTTTTTCTTAACTGCTCATGGTTATTAAAGAGTAAGCCAACTAGGTAGTAATTTTGGATTCCTAATACTAATATTATGGGCATTCTTAAATTTTTTAAACTTGTTTTTAACGCTTTTCTCAACGTAAAACGGATTCCGTAAAAAAACAATGACCAATATTTTTTTTCCAAAGTATTGTGCATATATTTGTGTGAAACTATATATTCTATGCTTTCATGTACATGAAAAAAGCTAATAAAGTCAAGCAAAATGTTCTTCAGAGACATAGATCTAGTAGTAGGCCCACTGATTTTTTTTTATAAACCGGGAAAGATGACCAGAAAATAACAAAATTATTTTATGATCTTCACTTGCACTTGCAATTTTTTTGATAAATTATAGTCTACCTCATTGTCTTTTTTTTCCATCATTTTTCTTCACTATTCATGACAACTGGCATGTATTGTTTTCAGTTATTATCAAGAAAGTGGATAGGCGGACTAAGGGGTCTATCTAGCCAAAAGGATAGGTGGACCCCGGGGTCTACCTAACAAAATGCTAGGATTTAGGATGTGAACCCCGGAGTCAGCGTAGTGAAATAAGTAGTAGATCTAGGTTTAACTAAGGATCGGTGGACCCCGGGGTCAACATAGTGAAATAAGTAGATCTCAGTTTATTTTATAGTAGGACTGGCGGAGCCCTTGGTCAACGTAGTGAAATTATATGTAGATATAGGTTTAATTGAGGATTGGTGGACCCCGGGGTCAATGTAGTGAAATCAGTAGATCTAGGTTTAATTAAGGATTGGTGGACCCTGGGGTCAATGTAGTGATATAAGTACATGTAGATCTAGGTTTAATTTTAAGGATTGGTGGACCCTGGAGTCAACGTAGTGAAATAGGTAGGTTTAAGGTGGACCCCAGGGTCTACCTAACGAAATGCTAGTTAGGTTTTTAGAATAGGTGGAACCTGCGGTTACCGTAGTAAAATAAGTAGGTTTAATCTAGGTGTCCCAGGGGTCCACCAATCCTTAATTAAACCTTATTCCTCTACGGCTATGGTGACTCCGGGGTCCACCAATCCTTATAAAATTAACCCTACTTATTTCACTACGCTGACCCCGGGGTCCACCACCAATCTTTAAAGAAACATACTTATTTCACTACGGTGACCCCGGGGTCCACCTGTCCTAAAACCTAGTATTTCGCTAGGTAGACCCCGGGGTCCACCTTAAACCTGCTTATTTATCACTACGTTGACCCCGGGGTCCACCAATCCTTACTTAAACCAAACTTTATTTCACTACGGTGACTCCGGGGTTCACATCCTAAAACCTAGTATTTCGCTTTGCAGACCCCGAAGTCCACCTATCCTCTTCAGGACTAAACTATTATCAATTTGCAATTTTCATTGATTAGCATTTTTTTTTAAAATATTGAATCAGAGACTCGCTGTCTAAAAAGTCCACTGCTAATGCTATTCTTTTCAAAGAAAATGGCACAATTTGATTTTAAGACATGTTGAAAAAAAGAGTTTTAAAAATATCCCGAAAACAACATAAAATGATTATATAGATCTCTCTCTCTCTATATATATATATATAAATATATATATATGTGTGTGTGTGTGTGTATTTTATTATGTATATTAAAAGACTGAGCAGAGGCTTACAATGTAAATTCTGTGCTCTACAAGTAGAGAAAATCTTATGTTTGCGCAAAACAGATTCTAGAAAAAAAGTTGGATCTAATTATTCTAATAAAAGTAAAAGTGATTGTTATGCTGAGATTTGTTATTATTAACTCTGGAAATACAGTTACTTGCTGAATCTAAAAGTAACTAGAACTGTGCAATTCGTTTTATTTCAATTCCAAAGCCCAAAGGAGCATAGGCCTGCTACTACTGATTCTAGACAGGGAATCTAGATCTTGCTATCGCCTGCGCTATTAAAGTCAAATATATGGTAAAATAAAAACAAAACTGAAATTTTTGTCAGTCAGTACATCCCAATTGCCATAGCCGCACGTATTAATAGTTGAATAATGCGATACCGAAGCAACACACGTTATCACAGTGTGCAGGGGAAAGCGAGGTTCTCGGTCGATTCGGGGGTTCGGCTTTTGTAGATCTATGCATTTTTTACGGAAAGCCCTATTACCTGGCCTATTACTAGATCTATTAGTGTTGTGAAAACTTCAACCTCTACAGCTGAGGCGTCAAAAGATGCTGGAAAATAAAAATACGTCATGAAGTTTCATAATTTATTTTTATACAGAATAACACAGTACACAGCCAGTAGTTTTTATTTCATCGAGTTATAAAAATGGCCTTCGTATAAAAATGGCCATGTTTTCAGAAGCAAATTTTAATAGTTCTAGTTCTACCGAATCGATTTTCACGCGAATTCAACCATTTTGATGATCTTTCTTTTCCTTTTAAAAAGATGTAGATCTAGGTCTGTCGGATGTGGCAGTGCGAATAACACTGAGTTGTTTAGATCTAGATCTAGACCCATCAAAACACGAGGCTTCGTGGCCGATCACAAAAGTCTACGGGGCTTATCGAGGCCGATTCGCCCTGCTGCGAGCACGTTCACTAAACTGCCTACTAGATAGAATCTACTACCAAATATTCCCTACACGATCTTTCCTACTACTACTACTAGGCCTACTAGCCTACATGTACTACTACGAGACAGTACGAGAGAGTGTCACTCAGGCAAAGATAGTGTAACTTTGACTCAGCCACGTAGTGTACACACTTTTTATACCCCAAATTTAACCCGGAAGTCCATTCGGAGGATTTGACCTTTTCACTTGACCCAAGTGTGCCGCCAAAATGGTAGCCTAGCTTTTGCCCCTCCATGAAGGAAAAATCTGGCCCTCATTCAAACCATTGGGATTGAGCAAAATTTTGCGTATTGTGCTTTGTTCTTTACAATATTCATTATGGTTATGATTTATAAGTTGTACACTGAGACAAAACCGTACTAAATGAGAAAGGTGCATCATTATGAAAGTGGAACGAACTCAGTTGCCTGAAAAGGGTAGTTTGAGCATGTGTGGCCTAAATAAGCTAAACCCCCCCTCCCTTACCTTATTTAGGCCATATGTGGCCTAAATAAGCACTCCCAATAAGTTAACTTCTCGGATTCGAGCCCTATAAAAATAGATACATCATGCTTATAGATGAAGTTTTTACAATTTAAAAGTATGAAATAATGAAAGGCATGTTATAGTCAAAGCAGGCCTATATGGCGTCAATAGAAAATCTATAAATTTGACCCTAGTGTCGATTTTTGTCAAATATCTCTTTATGGATTGAGAGAAGTAACTACATGTAATTTGTCAGCATGCCTCACATATTACATTTATATAAGTGCCAAAGATTAGAGGTGCTACAAAAGAGTTACATTACATATATACAAAAAAAAGGAGAGATCACGATGATAGATGTTTGATAAGAGTAAGAGAGGAGGAGCAAACCACACCAGAGCACCCGCCAACCCAGATCGTTTTGTTTTAGTAGGTTTTTACAGCGCTCGTAACTGCATAAGGTCATGTCATATGAGCGCTAAGTATGGATGCCAACAGAGAAGTCCTTACAGGGAATCAAACTTCTCTGCTCATCTCTCTAGCTTTAACAGCACAAAGTCTGCTTCGACTATCAAGGCACCCCGGAAATAGCGGGTCACAAGAGTGTGACAAACATACAAAAGAAGTAGAGGAAAACGACGATAGTAAGGATTAGGAAAGAAAGCAGCAGTTCCCTGTTGCAGTTCAGGCAGTTATGAGCATGACACCGATTAATCAGCCCATTTACAATTCTACTGTGTAACTGTACATAAGAACAGGTTCCCCCCATTTGGGAATGTCCTAAAGACACTTCAACTCAGTCAAAAGCCAGATTGAGAACAAGACAGGAAGTTTCAAACATGATTCATAAAACAGCCTACAGTACAACGGAACTCGGACTCAACGAGATGAGATAGATTACGAGGTCGCTTCCATGGTGAACAACCCCCGCAGACGTGGCGTCGCTCATTTTTCTCCCAGAACGAACTTTATCTATTCCTGGAAACCATCCATTGCACCTGCATCATGAACCCTTATTCACTTACCCGATTGCATGTGACCAACTAGCTGCTTTTTTTCATACCAACAGATGTGTTGTTGGCACGTGCACTCGTCTACTCTGGCGTGTGTCAGGACCGTATGGGCGGCCTAGGGGCGTACTAATTGAATGTCGCAGATACAAATGGGTCAGTCTATTTTTTCCCCTCAGCAACTGATCATTATTACAATGATAAGCTAGTCTTGACATATATCTATTTAATGAATTGTGCGCTGGTCTATGGAATCAAAAGTTGCAGTATGCTAGGCTCTACACAACTTTTTATCGAGATGACACAGCTCTTTATCATGGTTTGACGCCACGCCATTGCACACAGGAGACTTACCTGGGAGAAAGTACAATTTATCGAGTATCTCGGTCTTTTTGCTGGGATACCAGGGTTCGTTCGGAGCCACTTCCTAGATGTGATCTAAATGCGTCATTGGGGGTATAAAAAAACACCCAATTAATGTAGAAGAAAAAAAAAAGGACACCCAGTTTCAAAATCAGAAAAAACAACCGAATACAACAAACAAAAAATGTATAAAATCAGCTCAATTTCAATCAATTTTATTTCAGCAACTGCACATCGATAACAGTTTATGCAGAAGTTGCTTCTTTGTCTTTCACCATCAACTCCTTCTTCAGAGGGCCCATGAAGTTGCGCTTCTCCTCGGCAGTCTGGAAGCGACCATGTCCCCATTTGCTGGAAGTGTCGATGAACTTCAAAGTGATCTTCTCCATCAGACGACGACGGAAGCTTGTCATCAGAGACTGAAACAACATGTGTAAATTTGTTAATACTGTCAAAACTTAAAAACCAACTACAGTGGAACTCATTTTCAATGAAAGGATATGGACTTCCCCGTTTTCTTCCTTCTTAAAAATAAAAAATAACCCGGATTCAACAAGGTCGCTTCCAGGGTGAACAGCCCCCGAAGACGTGACGTAGCAAATTTTTCACACACAAAGAACATTAATCCATTCCCGGAAACCATCCATTGCACCTGCATCTTGAACCATTTTTCACGTAGCCGAATGCATGGGGGCGGCGGCGGGCACCACCGGTCCGGGCGTGGAACGTCACACAAATGCGTCAGCAGCCCCCCCCCCCCCGGCAACTGACCATTGTTATAATGATAAGCTAGTCTTGACGTAGATCTACGTTAATGAGGTTATGAATTGTTCACTGGTCTATGGAATGAAAAGTTGCCGTATCCTTGGCTGTACACAGCAACACAACTCTTTTGGTAAACAGTCGAGATGACACAGGCATGCATTTGAATGAATCAGTCTTTTTTTTTGTGCACAGCTCATAATATACAGGCATTTCAGGCATCACTTGTTACATATACATGTACTTGTTCAGTGCCTGTAATTATCTACACAAAACCTCATGTGTTACAACAAACACTGATTCAACGAGATTTTAGGTCAGGCTCGGCGACCTCGTTGACTCTGAGTTCCACTGTAGTAAACCAAAGTTCCATATATCACAAATAAATATTCCTGCATCTGCCATCAAACCAAAATTAAAACTTGACCAGTTGGCACTAGATCTATATTGGGCAGATACAAACTCATACAAAAAAGTACAAGTACCTGACCCAACCCCTTCCATCAAACCAAAACTTGAACTTGTGCAAAAGGCACAATACTACTGTGTACATGAAATGGTACTACGTAGACAATGATGGCCAATTCTAATCCAAACACCACAACAAGAGACAGGAAATTGCCGTAGAGAATCTTCAGGAGGTATTTTACACATTACAACATAAGGGTCTGAACGAGAGATCTATTTCCAAATCTTAAGCAAGGAGAAGTAAGTTATCTCCAGAGAAAAGCATTGAAAGAATAACAAAAAACTATAAATACTAAATTTCCCAAAATTCTTAAGTGTTAGTAAGAGTTTTACGGCGCTCGCAACTGGATAAGGGAAATTACTCTTCGGCATCAAATGAAAGAAACATTTTGCAATTTACTGTAAAACAAAATCTCAGTTTCTAAAGACACCTGGCAGGAGCGGGTGATTTTGGGCAGGTGTAGTGTGGAGTGAGTTGGGAAATTCGTTTATTTCGTGTGAATTTTACAGCGATGTAACTTTAACTCTAGGTTTCAACACACCACAAGTAATATTTCAAGGCCGAGTTATAAATTATGTTCACACTTTCAATTTCGACTCCCAGGAATCACAATACAACAGATCATGCTCACCTTCCTGAGAGTAATGACCCTCTTGCGAGGTCCAACCATGCAACCTCTGATCATGATGAAGTCATTGCGGACATCACCGTAGTGAGGGAATCCACCCAGGGGAGTCACAGTCTTCTCAGTTGGATCAAACTCAGTGGCGGCGTTGTTCTTGATCACTTTGCCGTCCTTGGTGTGAATGCCCAGGCCAATACGGTAGATCTTCAATGAGGAAAAAGACCACATGGTCAAAATCATAAAAAGTGAAGATAATTCACCACACCAAGGAACACTGCAGGAGGAAAAATCTGATCAAACTAAATTTCTTTCAGGTACTGGCAACTCAAAGAGGTAACCCATCAACTCCCACCATACTTGACTAGGCTATGCACTACAATTGCTGGTTCAACATTCAGCAAGAAATCTTTCCATTACCATTATAATGCATTTAACTCATTTACACTTATGGACCTGTCCTGATGCATGCCCTGAAAACCTTCAAGGGACTATTTCTTGCTAGTATAAGGAAACAACCACACCATCGGCCGCTGACAGCTCAAGACTTGCATCACACACGGTCCAGCTCAAACGACAAGGCAGAATCCACAGGCCGCAGAAAACAAGCTAGGCTCTGACAAAAAGGTCCAATACTCAAGACCAAGTAAGACAAGCAGGAATGTTTGTTTTAGTAAGAGTTTTACAGCGTTCGCAACACACGCAGGAATAAGATCCACAGGGAGACAATTCATTACAATGAAACAATATTTCTAGCCCTAACAACCTTTGGTGACGGCAGTAAATTGTGACATTTATCAACTTGAACAGGTAACCTTGCCAAAGGAGTGATACATCAGTTTCAACAAGAGGGAAATAATATATAGTTAAATGAACAACAACCTTATGTGTGTACGGTAGACTAGACACTTCCCCCACCCCTGGTAGGGCAGCACTAAAATACCAGGCCTTTTAGATTATGAAAGCATGAGACTGTCAGAACGAGGAATTCCAAAAGTTTGAGGTTTCACCACAGAAAGACTGAAAGGAAACATTCATCATGCAATCCCATGCCGTCAAATAAGGGACAACACTTTTCACACTGCAGACTTCCAATGTAATAGAAAATAATTCTTCCAAAAACTTTCTTTGATCAGTCCACCCCCTCTAAACAAACTATGACGGCTACTCAATCAGAACCGCAGCAGTATCTTTCCAGTCAAATTCCACCTCATAAATCAAGACCATTCGATGTTCATCACACAACCGCAACAACCTGACAGCCAGCTTTATAATTATTTATGTTTTAGGCGCATTTCTAGTCCAATTCAGACCTGTCTTTGAACGTAAGAGATGGGCAATAAACTACTGTTTCATTAAAAAAAGAGCATTTTGTGGGGTCTCTGGTCTTATCACAAAGAGGACGATACAATGACACTGAAGAGAGCCAAACGCTTCACACAGCCAAGTAGAGCAGTATTTCCCAACTTCAGAAGAAGAAAAAATCGAAGGCACCAAATTGTAAAGACCATTTACCACTGTTAAAATAGAAATAATGAGAGGCCATCAGAAACGAGGAATTCCAAAGTTTGAAATCTCAACATTTCAAAGTCAGATGGGAACATACATCATGTAGCCTCCGAACACCAGATTAGAATCTGAAAACGTTTAGCTCTTTTAGTTATTTAATTTTGCACTTTATAGAAGTAATAAAAATCTAACTGAACCATTTGAAAAAGTACAGACATATCTGCGAATGGAAAACAAGATACAATATTTGCAGGAAGATCAACAGTGTTGTTTTCTGCCACCATCTATCCCGCACCATTAAATATGATATCACAATGCCTAATCTGAGGTAATCTATATGCCGGTCCCCTTATTCACTCAATTTTTTTACATGAAGAGCAGTAATTCTCACTTTTTGTTTCCCTGAATAGCATCTGATACACTACTTTGTTACCAGTTACCACAAAGGAGGCAAGCAAGAACAAAAAAATAAAAAATAATCAAAGCCACAAAAGTACAGGAGCAAAGCCCGATGCCTAATAAGACTAAGACAATGAGGCTGTCAAAACGAGGAATTCCAAAAGTTTGAAGTTTCACCACAGAGTTGCTGAAAGGAAACATTCATCATACAACTTCATGTCAAGTTATCAAAAATTCTGACCATTAGTTTAAATCAGAGCTGAACAGAAAAGTATAATACTCTAGCATAAAGAAAAATAAATATCTCACAAAATGAATCCAATCCTTGCTAACACATCTAGCGGTGGTGGGGTTTAACTTTAATTTTAGTAAGAGTTTTAAGGCACTAACTACACCAGAGCACCCACCAACCACCCACTAAAAGGGGGGAGGAACCAGTATTGATGATTAAATTTCTTATTTGTCCTGAATTCTAGTCAAACTTTACATACAATCTTTTCTTCTATGACATTCACTCAAATAACCACTCTTTATCAATACAAGCCCATCAGCCACCATTATAGCTAGTAGAACTGCATGTGAGCCTCAACCAGATTGTCTGAAAATTTTGCACCCCCCCCCCATAAGAGCTTTTGTGGGTGTCATAAGGAAGGACTTCCGAGTAACGAGCGACCACCCCAACAAACACAATAAAGAAGAGACCTAACCCTAACCCAAAAAAGAACCTGCAATGGGCCTCATGTAAAAAGGCCAGCACAAGTCCAAAATGGAAAAAAACAAAAAAAAAACACTCCAAAACAAACAAGGAGCATAATATGGCCTACATCTACATTGCTATAATAGGGTTTGATATATTAACACAACAGAATTGGAATATATATATATGAACCCTCCATTTAGATCTAGTAATCTAAATAAATCTAGATCTAGCTTGTAGAACAAGTGAATTGGAATAAGCTTTGAACTACAAATCCGCATCTGATTCCGAACAGAGGGACTCAGCTGAGTCTTGATTCTAAATATATAATTCATGCACCTGATGAAATGCTTTTTACCAACATTAATATTACTGTGTACAGCACAACCTATGATATGGTTTGACACAATAGAATTGGAATATGAATCCTCCATTGAGGTCTATAATGATCTATAATCTAGATCCTATTAGAACAAGTGAGGCGGACTTGAATGAACCCACACGATTTGAACAATTGAATTAACAAACGAAATTCAAAATGGCCGCTCGTGCACGAAACGGAAAGTAGATAATTTAGGTCGTCATCCTTTGCATTTCTACTCAGGTTCCGAGAATTATGTCGGAAACGCCGACGTCGGCATGAAAATGAAAGTGCCGACAAAGCCGACGCGAGAAAAAGGGGGCACTGGCAGTCGGCCAGGCCTCGCACTACGCACATTGACTGATACAGGTGGGCCTAGCGATAGCATCGGCCGGCTCGCGATTGATGGCAAACATGCAGATCTAAATACCATTCTTTTTGTTTTAGTGTTTTACGGCACTTGCAACACAATAAGGTCATATAAGTGCAGAAGATTAGAGATGTTACAAAAGAGTAACAAACACAAAAAAGAAGGAGGGGAGATAAAGACGACAGATGTTTGATAGGAGGGAAGAAGCAAACCACACCAAAGCATCCGTCAACCACTCACTAACCCTTCTATTTTGTTAAAAAAACACCAAAAAAAAGAACACCCCCAACAAACATTAAGAGTTATAACTGCACCTGTAGATTAAATGTATATTGCGGTTGATCTTGAAATGAACTTTCAATTTGTCTTTGATTGGTGTTCATGTCACAGGCAGTGTCGCGTCTCATATTTACTTCAAAATTTCACACATGCCATTTCTAGGGTGAAACAGCCAAGCAACCACAAGGTAAAAATAACAAACCTTCTTGTTGATCTCTGTGCGGTGATGGTAACCCTTCTGACCAGCTCTGGCAACAGAGTACTGGACTCGACTAGGATGCCAAGCTCCAATGCAAGCAACCTTGCGCAAGCCTTTGTGCGTTTTGCGGGGAAGTTTCTTTGTGTGCCAACGAGAAGTGACACCTGTGTGAAAATAAACAATTGAATGACAAACTAGGTAGAAAAACATCCACAAACTTATACAAAAAACCAGCTATCCCATCCCTATTTACCAAAGTGGCCTGAACTCATTACATTCTCAGCAACAACAGTGGTTCAGAAGCACAATCAAATGATTATTAACAGCAGAGGACATCAGAAGGAAGGCAACATGGAATGGATCCACAGAGTAGTTTCAGTTCACCCCAGGCAAGAGGTATATTCCACATTTTCATCACATGTCCTTGAAACTATACTATAGCAAAACCAGCATACATTTGATATAAACAAAAGTGCAAGTAATATGTTTTATTTTGATCAACCCGCTCCCAAAATGTTTTGATACCTTAAAGATATTTGAGAGGTATTCTGAGTTTTCTAAGGGAATAAGTACAATCTAATAAAGCCATCATCAATGTGCCTTACTTCCCGAGGACTTTTTGTGCACCGTGCAGGTACCAATAAAAACAATGGCACAGCAGAGAGAGAGAGAGAGAGAGAGAGAGAGAGAGAGAGAGAGAGAGAGAGAGAGAGAGAGAGAGAGAGAGAGAGAGAGAGAGAGAGCACATCTTAATCTACCATACAATAGGACACTGTCCAACAATGTTACAATGGATATACACACGAGACGATCTTATTTTCTATAACAAAGTATGCATACTTTTACTAGTAGAGAACTGGATTTATTAGACTAATAAATCCAGCTCTCTACTTACATTTTTGTGACAAATTGATCCAGAGCAAGGAGGAACCTTTTATGTTGCCAAGTTTCATTCAAATATCATGACTTTGGGAGAACATATGACTGATAATCTTTGTAAATCTGTAAAGAATGCCACTTTTTAACCTGTTAATGTCTTTACAACTCAAAAAGTATGACAGATATTAAAAATCTGACAACATGACTATCTGCATTAAAAAAATGTACTAGACCGCCAAGTTTCATTTACATATTCCAAGAAATAGGTGAGCTATGACAAATATTGTCTCAAAATGCACAGAAAACCGCCACATTTTTACCTATAAACGTCTTCATAACTAAAAAAAAAAAAAACTCCGAAAAATGAGCGAGTTATGACGAATATTGTCTCAAAACTCACCAAAGAACGTTCCATATTTTGGGTTTTTTTCATTATATAAAAGTGTACCAAAAATTAATTTTTTTAAAAATTCGTAACATTTTTGTTTATTGATGGATTTCAAAAATTCAAAAAGTTCCATTCTCTGTGAAGATACAGCTACAAAATGCACCTATTTGCAAACACTTTCTGGCCAAAAAAAAGGTTTTTCGTGGTCATTGCTAAATAGGGCAATTCTAAGAGTTGTGGTGTTTTGAAATACCCCCCAAAATGCCAGCAATCAGTGAGTTAAACAACACCCAAGCCGTGAACATATTGAACAAAAAACACAAAAAAAAGTTTATAAATGTCAAGCAACTTCTTTCTGAAAGAAAGAGAACAAAATTAAACGCGAAACAGAAATAACCAACAAAGGACATCAGAAGGAAGGCAACATGGAATGGATCCACAATTTTGTTTCAGTGCACCCCTGGCGAGGGGTACTTTCCACGTTTTCATCACATGTCCTTGGAGTGCTATTTAAAACCAACCTTCCATAAGAAGTAATCGACTCACCTTTCACTCCACGACCCTTGGTGACACCAATGCAGTCAATGAGCTCATCCTGCTCAAACACAGTGGACACTCCAATGGGCTGCTCAAATCGTTCCTTGGCCCAATCAACTTTATCGGCAACGCTGCCACCGTTCAGCTGAATCTCCATGAGATGAGCCTTCTTCTGGCGTTTACGCAGCAGTTTGGTCTATAAAAAAAGAAATGAAAGGCTGTGAAACCACAATTGAAGATGTTCTAAAATGCAGCAGCATTATCACCATAATACATATTTGCTATGGACTTCTAGGCTAATAAGATCAAGTCACATGGACTGTGATAACTGGAACAGAAAGAAAATCATTTTCACGGTTCCCAAAACTACTGGAGCCTGTAAGATTGGTGGCGAACAGCAGCCTTCGCACAAAAGATTGGGATGCCCAATCAAAGCAGACCCTTTACTATCAAATATCTACAGAGATCGAGGAGTTTGGTGCACACATCCTTCAGTCTCCTCACATAATGGATAGAAAGTAAATGTTGGAAGTAATTAATGTATGTTTGTATGTAGTATAGGGTTTTACGGCGCTCGCAACTGCTAAGGTCATATGAGCGCAGAAGTAATTAAAACACCAACAAATATCATACATACCTGAGTGTGAGCAAGGATGCGCACAACTTTGCAGTATTTCTTGATTTTGTTGAGGTCCGTCTCAATCTGCTTCTTGCCAGCATCATCAGCCCATTTCCTTGCATAGGTGGTGAAAGCTTTCTTCTTGGAATTAGACCTGAGAGAATATCCACAACCAGTTAAATTTTTTACATTGAACCGCACTCGTATTAATTACAAGAGCAAACTTCAAAATTACCCTTTCACTTATGTACAAATGATCAACTTAACTAAAGGGAGCAGTGTTCCAAGTGATTAAAATCAGATAAAGCAAACAGTTACATTGAACTTTTTTCCCCGGACATATGAACCAAGGCCTAGCATTTATCAATCAGAGAGACCAGAGACACCCTAATGCAAACTTTATTATTCAGGAAAAGAAATGTCAACCACACACTTGATAATTCCTACTGACCCACCACTTGATATTCTCCTATACATGACACGAAACTAAAGAAAAAAAAAGGTGATATGAGACCAAGATCACAACACTTAAAGCAAACTGACTTGCAGGAAGCCTGTACATTGTCCACAGATATTCAGTCAAACTATACAATATAATGTAGTACAACAGACCCACCTGTTACAAAGACATCAGGTTCATTTCAACCTCATGCACCCTTGGCAAAGATTGATCGCCTGATCACAAGTGTTGAATGGGAAAATCAGGTTTCACCCTAAATATTACATTCTCATCACGGGCAACCCATGAGAGGAGAAAGGCCCTGACCAACCAAAACCAGTTTGCTCATCAGAACAGCACAGAAGCAATAGCACATTGCTGCACCAAAGCTACCAAAGCTACTCAGAGAGGAGCATCGGTTTATCATGATCAGAGGGGATGATAGTGCACATTTGATTATGAAAGCGGATGAAAATCGAATAAGGTAATGGCATAGATAACTTTGTGCAAAAATCAAAGCATGTACAGCCTAGAAAAGGTAAGCCTGAGCTCATTTTCTTCATACCCCCACCAACACGCCGTTCTAAAAAAAAAATTCAACATGGAATGCCCACACCTAGCTTTTCATAATCTGTCCGTATGAGAAGCATGAAGAATGTCAGTCTAGCTTAAAACAAACCCTTATTTTATTTATTTATTATAGTAGAGGGTTTTACAGCACTCGCAACTGCATAAGGTTATATGAGCCCCAAGGGATGGGTGTCAACAGAGAAGTCTTTACAGGGAAACAGACCCACTCTGCCCACCTCTCTAGCTTTAACAGCACAAGGTCTGCTTCAACTATCAAGGCACCCAGGAAATAGCAGGTCACAAGAGAGTGACAATCATACAAAAGAAGTAGAGGAAAATGACAATAGTAAGGATTATAGACCTGCATGTGAGCCTCAACCAGATTGTCTGAAAATTTTGCGCCCCCC